CAGTTGATCACTAATATCCCTCTCAGAACAACCTGGAAGCTTCAGTCCTGATGTGATCAAGTAGGATGAACAGTTTTGAGTCACTCACTGGAGAGAAGAATTATAAACCAGTACACACACTAGTGTTTTCAGTTTCTGAAAAACATTCTGCAATACACCCTACTGCAGAGGAGCCAACATGGCCCCCATCGTACTGGGTGCTGACATTTCAGAAAGAATGAGTCTGAAGAGGTGCCTTATTACTTTTTTCCACTTATTGGACATGTGCCTTTGGGAAGTTGCTTACTCCTAAGATCCCTCATGGGCAAATGGATTCTAATTTATTTTGAAGGTTCTCATGGCAATAAAATGAGATGATGTGACAACTTAGCATCACATCTAATATGTACTGGTAGTTGTTTCATGAATGTGGAATGAATGAAATGCTCCATGATGAAAACTGTATCATTATTATTATTCTCATAACTTTTTACATTGGTGTGCACCTGGGTACTTTCAATTCTGTTAGCTTCTGACAACCTAAAAAGTTTTTGGAGATTCCTTCCATTGAGGGAAGAATCTTTTTATAGACTTCATTTCTTTCCTCAACTAAACCTCTCTCAAGCAGCTGATGGGCAAAGTATAATTCAGCAAACTGTTTGGGCCCCATCAGGCCTTGCCTGCCATCCCACTTGCCATGACAATATGAACGCAGTCTTCTCTAAATTTTTATATGCTCACACTTCAACCTAATGTTCAAAAACAGCTCTCAGTGCTGTCAGAAAGCCCCAAGGCCAAGGGCACACACAGAGCAAACAGCTTTGCTCCCATTTTTACAGAGGAGACAATGGAAGCAAACTCTGAGGAAGGTGGGGCTCAGTTGTTGGAGGCAGGGGTTCCAAAGGGCTGCAGAGGCCCATGTCCGGCTGGCTTTTCCTTCTGCTGGGTCTCTGCCAAAGCAAGGGTGCATGAGCTGAACATGTGAGAGAAACCCTTCATGAAGGTAACTTGTTCAGAGTCAAACATGCAGCCTCCAAGCCTGTGGTCCTTTTAGCATAGCTCTTGGATGGCACTACAATAGCCAATAGAACTCACAGTCATCATACAGGGTGAGGGGGACGAGGCAGGTTTGACATTTTGAAAGTGGTGCTATCTTTCCTGAGTTAAGAATCTATTCAGTTCTTCTGGAGCACCGTTAACTTTTGCATTCTTTCTCCAGTGCATGTTCTGGTCTGAACACACCATGAAGGTCTTCAAGGCTGGGGGAACGGAGTGATGCTGACTCACCGAATTGTCAAAATGTGTTTTCTAACTACTGAACTGTGGCCAGACATTTTTCTCTACTGTTTGCCTTTCTAAAAGTCCTTGATCAAAATAGGCAGGATGTGGCTTTGAAACACAGCACTTTCAAAACTGAAAGAATGCAATTCTAACAGCCTTGTCTCTTTGAACCCAACTAAACCTCTCTAATGGGCTGTGTGTTACTCCTAATAGACAGCTGAAATCTTTCTCTAAATTGTATTGGTTACCATTTAGGTAAGAGTGAAACTGCTGAAATTCTGACCGTTTGAGACATGTTTATATTTATGCAGGCAGCAAACAAAAGATGAATTCAGGGGCATGTCTGTTTTCGAGTACAATGCTCAGTCTGCCTCTCCTTGTCTTGCGCTGGATTGCAGGGAGGGCAGAGCTGGACTCAGACTTCGGTCAAGTACATTCCGTCACTTGCTTTCTCTGGGATCTCAGTTAAGGGGCTTCATCTCCTTGGAATCGAGGTTCTTAACCTCCAACATGGGACTATAGCCACCACCTTGGGTTCATTGTGATAATATGTATAGTGTAATAGCATAGGACTTAAATATGATAGGTTAAAAAAATCCATGCCACACTTACTAAGTGTTGACTATATACTGTTGGCTGCATGATATGCACTGCCCAACTCTGAGACCATAGTTTATATCACAATTGTCTGATATCTGTATATTTACTAGGACAGTTTTTTTTTTCTCCTGGCAGAAAATAAAATGTTTTGAGGAAGGTACACTTTTTAAAAATTCTCACAAAGGCACCAGTTAGGCTAGGTAGCTTAAAGGGAAAGGGCAACATAGAAACTCAAACTAATCTCACTAGTTGGTAGTTGTGTTGAATCTTGAAAGAGCAAGAGCCTGCAAGGTCAAGGAGTGAGAAGAAAGCAATTCTCACAGAATGAAAAGCTATTGAACCTCAGCAGTAGTGGTGATTTCAAAACATATCTATAAAACCTTTGATATTCTTTCCTTTAAAGGATGATGTCTAACCCTCCTCTGCATGAGTTGGGGCTCATTTAATGAATGACTCAGGGCTGTCCAACTTGTGGTCCGCTGACAGCATGCTCAGCACAGTCCAGGATGGCTGTGAATGTGTCCCAAAAGAAAACTGTAAATTTACTTAAAACATGATGAGATTTTTTTGTGTGTGTGATTTTGTGTCACGATATATTTAATGTGTGGCCCAAGACAACTCTTCTTCCAGTGTGGCTCAGAGGCCCCCAAAAGGTTGGTCACCCCTGTATGAACTGAATGTGATGGGTGGGTTGCTTTAGAACACTGGACCACAAAAGGCAGTGCGACTTGCGCCTTGCTTTCTCTTGGGTCACTCTCTCCAGGGGAAGCCAGATGCCATGTTGTAAGGACTCTTGCCAATACCAAGCGAGCGCTTTGGGAATTAGATTCTCCAGCCCTGGCCAAGCCTTTGGATGACCAGCCCTGGCTGATGTTTCGTCTGCAGCTGAATGAAAACACCCTGAGCCAGAATTATTTGGCTAAGCCACTCCAGGATTCCTGAACCACAGAAACTGAGATAATAAATATTTATTGTCTTAAGTTGTTGAATTTTAAGGTAATGTGTTGCCCAGCAATAAATCATCAGTGCAGTGATAAGAAGCTCCCAATGGAAACTTCCTCAGTTGGAGCCTGGCATGTAGGATGGGCAGCTGAAGGGGACAGAGAAGATGAAATCTGTAAGGTAGAGGCCCAACATTCTTCGTTAAGAAGTTAGGATTTATACTATCAGCAAAATATTCAAGCTGGAGGTTGTCTTTTACATAGAGGACACTTTTACAGAGTTTTTACACAATCAGTGGTGATTGTGGTATCTTTGTCATGACAGGGGATGGGAAGAGCCTGGTGGAGGGAGGGGGGACTTCCGGCCAGGAAGTTGTAGGAGCAGTAGGTCAGGTGAGAGAAGACGAGAGTTAGAACTAAGACAACAGCAGAAGAGGTGGATATGGGAGGGCTCTCCTATAATTTGGTGGTTTTCAGAAAGTAACGACCAGTTTTCAGGTCTATCTAGTGCAATCATGCTTCACTCTGCACTGTGTAGGGAAAAAGTGTATTCTTACCAACATCACACACACACACACACACACACACACACACACACGAGATACTTCCATGCACTAACAGAGTGAGAATTTTGCTAAAAAGAACTCACAATTAGGAAACATCTCCCTCTGAGGATTTACTAAGCATTTGAATTAGTCCTTTATAGAAACTCTAATTTCAAGAACAAAAAGAAAATGAGTTCCCACTTTCTTCAAAGTGAAGCAAAAAAGCCTCATTTGTCCATTGTACAAATAAGGCCACAGAATATTAGACTCAATTATAGTGGGATGATTTATAGACCCATTGAAATCTAATTTAATGTGATTTTGAAATGTTGGAACATTCAGTAGAATCTATGAGTAAAACAACATAGGGCAGTGGTATTAAATTAGCAAAGAAGTGCTCATCCATCTCCCAAACTGGTTTCCTTAGAAAAAGAATATCTATTTTTGGATTTCAATAGCCCCAGAAAGAGATGGATTATATAAGTACTAAGACTTGAATACAGGGTCCAGCACAAATAATGCCCTTTTTAAATTACAAAATCATCAGCATGTAATTCTGTAACATGACAATATCACACTCAAGCACACCATATGACATTTTAGGTGACATGTTCAAATTGAAACTATACATTATTACACCCATTTTATGACCCTACCAACCACACTTAAGCAGGCCTTACTCCTGCCAGACCCTGTATTTTGAATGGCCACATTTCCATCCCAGTGCTGAGGGAAGAAAATGCGTGTTGGTGTGTTTTTTCATCCCATTATCTTCAATGCACTGTCCAATCACCACTCAACCACATTTCAAAATGTTTCTTCTGGGAAGTAGAGTTCTAGCTGAACTGAAGATTAATCAGAGAACCAGGAAGAATTCAGAACCAGTAGAGTCAAGGCACCAAATTTCATTTTCAGAAGAAAAATGTTTATGAACAGTAAGTAATAGCTGGGAGTCGCATTGCTTGTTTCTGAAAACGTCTTTTTAAATAATGCTTTATTTTACATTTACATATTACTGAATATAAGGAATTTTGAAGAAATATTAACCTTCAAATAACTTGATTCAATAAATACTTGTTGAATACTAATTGTCCTAGTAGGAGATATTTCTCTTAAAATAAATGTGACAATCCAAGTCCCCTGAGGCAGAGACTATGTTGCTGACCACGAGCATCCCCCATCTGTTGTGAGGCCTGGGAAAGGAGTGACTCCACAAATGACACGTTGAAAGGAGAATAAATGGCGGAGTGACAGATGCATGAATACGTGTCATGTTAATGATGTTGAGTGGGTGTAAGAACAAGGCTGTAAATTTCCAAGGTATGTCTCCATTGTAAGAACCCAAACATATTTACAACTGAAGAGTCTAGTGGAAGATGTGAAAGACTTTGATGTTTAGGATAAAAATAACCAAGGTGTGAATTAAGAAGAGAAAGCCTATTTAAGGAACCTTGAGGCAACTATTTTAGCAAAAGCACATTGCTGTAGCTACAATTAAGAGCACTGCGGTTCAAAATAGTTGTGATATAGTGAAAATAACAATGAAACAATGTTTCCTCAAGACTATTAAAAATTTGCTTCTGGCTCATATTCCAAAGTTAAACTTTTGTGGAGGGAGCAAAGGAAAAGTAGAAAGAGAAACCACCACCATTAGTGCCTGCACCAGGGCTATTTATTAGCATAACTTTTTCTTTTTTTTCTTCAAGATTCCATAACAACTGAAGTATGTACAAAGTCTTACAGCATTTACACAATAAAAAGTTTCTTATGAGCTGACAAAGTCTGTGGTAGTGCTCCCGAACTTCAGAGCATAACTACAAGAGCAGTGAAGTAGGCCGCTGCACATGTCCCTCTCTGCTACCACACCACAGCTGTCAGCTGGTTGACAGCCAACTGGAAGACAGGTTATTGGGGAAAAAAGGGAACAAGTCGATATGCAGCACTAGACACCATGGAGTGGGGGGAGCTACATAGCATTGTGTTTCTACAGTTTCATAGGGCTGTAACCAAAGTCCACAGCTTGAGAGAATAACATATGCAAGACAACACAATCACACTGCTCAGTTATGGTTCAGCTACCAAAGGTGTGCACTGTTGAAGAGGAGGCTCTATACACTGATATGGCTGGTATTTCCATTTGTGTTCATGTCTTCAGAAAGTGCAAACCTGCACAAACCCCACTTCCCTCTTCCAGATAAAACAACAATGGAAGGGAAGTAGGGAATCAGCATGGAATTAGTTATTGAGCAAAAAAAAAACCAAAAAAAACCCAAACCTCCCCAAAATTTAAGACATCAAGTAACAGGTTTAGAGAGGTCATTCCTGTCAAAAGATTAATAGTAGAAATTTCTGAATGAACCCAAATCAGAAAAACATCAACAATACCCCGGATATTCAACCTCCCAGATCTAATCACCTTCACTGTATCTGACTGTCTTTTCTTGGGGTCAGTATTACACAGAACCACTGATATTTATTTACACACTGAATAGGAGACAGAATGTAGCATTGTTGCCCAATCATTACTTTAAGCAAGTGGCAAGAGAATTGCAACATGTACGTGATTAACATCAGGCTTACCACTTTCTTCCTCAGAAAACCCAGCCTGGTTCTATCTTAGGTCAGTCACTCTCTCTGCTTGATAGCAGATCCCGTTTATTTCCCCATTGTTTTGGTCTCACATGTAGGCAAATTGGCTTTTTATTTCAAAAAGATTCTACTCTCAATTTAAAAGCCAGTTGATAAAACTTTTAATTAAGACACAATAGCGTGGGATAGAAAACACAAGAACCACATAAATATTGAAGAAGTTGTATACCGTTTTCGTGTAAACAGTTTAGCTTGAGATCAAAGCCCTAATCAGATTCTGGCTGGAAACGTTTGGCAGAGGACCGTGTGTTCAGCCAGGCTCTGCAGCCACGGTTGACGTGGACGCCAGGTCAGTCCCCATGTTGACAGGCATGCAACTTGAAAACATTGCACAACAAGCAACACAAAGAGAGTGGAGAAGCTCACAACACTTCAAGGAGACCTCACAACCTTCACAACTGCGGATGCACAGACAGAGACCCACCCCTCCCTCCTTCGCACGCACTTGCTCTTACACGTGGGAGACCTTCTGTGACTCTCTAGCTTGTTTGATGCTATATAACCACTTGATGATCCTAGCATTTCTTTCGATGGCAGAAATGCCATATGGCACCCGGTCATTGGCACTGTCATCATTTCTAAGGTCACTGTTACTGTCCTGAGACTGTTCACAGTCTGAGCTGATCATGCTTGCACTGCGGAAGTTGAGGGATATGATGTCGGAATTAGCCCTTGCAAAGTTTTCCATGCCAAGGTTTTCCAGCTCTTCTGGGTCCAGTCCGCAGTAGTTGAAGAACCTCTCCACGTCTGCGTCCACCCGGAAATACCTGTCACTCAAGTCCGACTTCGACCGCTGCAGGGAGGGCCTTCGGCTGACTCCACAAGCAGGTTCCACCGGGTCAGCTTCGGGGGACTTCATGGTGGCGAGGGCGGCCACCTTGGGTTTGGGAGGCAGCGGAGGGGCGGAGCTACTGCAGGGGATCGCTTTTAGGGGCTTCACACTGGTCACTTTGCGGATGTCGGAGGAGCTGTGGGAGACGTGGAGGAAGGACTCTGCCGTCTGCTCCAGCAGCCTCCTGCCCACGTGGGAACTGCTCTCCTGCGGGCTCCCGCGGCCCTGCGTCGGGTAGACTTTCAGGGACTCAGCGAAGGAGTGCCGGTGCAGGTCTGTGGTGTCTGGCCTGTGAGGGGGCCAGTTTCGCGAGCTGTGCTTGTGGCCCGAGCCCGAGCTGGAGCCTTCCGAGCTGTTGATGATGTTCTTCAGGATCTCGAGCTTCAGGGTCTCCCTCTGCACTCCGCTCTCGGTCTTGGCGTTGGGCCCGAACACTTTGAGCGTGGGGCTGCCCAGTGCGCGCTTGGCACCCGGGCACACTGGGGGCTTGGCCAGCACCGCAGGCTTCACTGGCTCCTGCTTTGCGTTGATGACCTCCTGGCTCTTGACATACTTGGCCTTGTCCGCTTCCAGTCTCTCCACAGCGCTGAGTCTTTTGGGGTTGGGCTCAGCCTGCCTGCGAAAGTAGTCGGGCCCTTTGTTGAGGATGCGCAGGGGCACTGCGGAGGTGAAGGTGCCCGCGGGGCTGACCGGTTTCACCATGCTACCTGTCTGTAGGGTCTCCGTGGGCATGGTGGGTGGTCTCTCCCCGGCGGCCGTGTTGGATTTTCTTCTGGGCGCCTCCGGATGCGCTGAATAGACACATGTACACGGAGCACAAAGGGCAGCAGACGGACCCTGGAACCTCAGTGTCAGCAGCGGCAGTAGGAGCAGCGCCTCATCTCACAGCCCATTAACCGCCGCCTTGTCTTTAAGTCACGTTCCCCCTTTCAGGCAGCCCCCGTACAAAAAGGCCACAAGCCACAAGTTCCTCGAATCTGCTCCGCCTCCTCCTTTCTTCTCCCCGAGGATGTGGGAGTCTCCTCTAGGTCTTTGTGTTCAACTGCAGGCAGAGCTGAAACACAAAAAAGCCAACCACGGGTTAGGATGGGCGAGTGACATCACGGCTGTAGCAACCTAGAAACCCGTGGCGCCACCACCGCCTCCACCTCGGCCGGACCACAGCGCTCCCCCCAGGCGCCCGGGCCTTTCAGGGAGGGATCCCAGTTCCCAGAACGCGAGGCTGGGCTGGGAGTCCGAGCCTGCGCCTCGCGAGCCGCTGGCAGAGGCTGGAGTCTGGGAGAAAGGGGCTGACATTACCCACGCGTGAACTCTTCCAGCTGCCTCCCCATTGGTGGGAACCGCCTCTGATCACACCCAGTCGGCCTCACTATTGTCAAAACCCAGGAAATGCTAGATGAATGTAGAAATGCGGGTTTAGCAAAGCGCAGTTCCCAGTTCATTAAATGCTGCTGGGTTCCTAAGAATCCCTACCTGCTTTAGGCTGCAACATCGCTTAAGTTTTGTCTGTTTTGAAATGAAGCAAAACTTTTGATTTCTTACTACCCATCTCTCAATTAACACTTGAAACAAGCACTTAACTCTTCAACAACTAAAGCAATGGACAGAAATGGGATCAACAGTGAAGAGGACAAATTTTTAGTAATCAATATGTTTGAGTTATCTTATTTTTGCCAGTCAATAATTTAAAAACACTTCCTCCTGGAAACAAAGAATGCTTATGAAGTTCATCCTACTGCAAGCTTATTTTTTAATTAAAAAAGCTAGAAATATTTCTAGATTAAGTGTAGAAGTAGACAATTTGATTTGAAATGCTCCATCGTTTTTCACATTTAATGAGCAGAAATCAAAAGTTAGTTTTGTGGTATTTTCCCAACCCTGCTAGAAAACAAAGAACAAAATCTTAAGATATCAATCATACCTAAAATATTACTGTATAGAGAACTTGCATAATAGTTAAGCATTCATGGGACTAAGTCATGGCTTTCTGAGCTTGCCTACTCCCACCCCCAACCTAAACCAATATAATGAAACACTTATCAATCTTCCAATGTGGATCTGTAGGGAGTTTTTCTACTGCAAAACAATAAAGCATTTATCTCTGCAGCCCTGGACCAGCTCCTCCGCTCGTCTGTTACCGCTGGCAGAAAACACCTATGAGGCCATCAGCTTCTGAAAGTAACTGGTAAAGACCTTTCTAGCATTTTTGGTTATAATTAGGAATACTGAATAATGTAGTCAACTAATATGTCAAATAACTAATTTATAAAACAAGTAGTAATATTACTATAAAATCATCTGCTCTCATGGTAAAAAATGAAGTGTCTATTAATAACAACTGGGGGGTGATATTTCTCCTTAATAGCTTTTGAAATTCTTAATCTCTATATACACCCAATTGCCATGTTTCGTCAGAGACAATTTTGGTACTCTGCAAAAGGATTTGTTCTAATAAAAATACTTTCCTGTGCAAGATCTGAGAAACCTCAAGGCAATTTCTACATAATGATTTCCTTAATTGTGTGGTTCTATTATAATACTTCAATTTAGTTTAAAAAACCACCTCCTTTTATGAAGATTAAGTGAGATTGTTTCTTTGAACACATTTTGAAAGAAACGCCAGAAAAGAAGTGACAGTTACTCTGCAGGGCCTCTGGATCTGTCCATCCACCACCCTGGGTCCACCTCACTGGGAAGATGAGCCGGGCCCCCCTCCACTAAGGGAGCTCACAGATAGAACAGCAGAATCTGGGCTCAGAGACAAACCCTTTGCATCACACCAAGGGTGCTTGAGAGAAGTTTGCTCCCAGGACAGGCCGTGTTTCCTACAGCAGAGCAGCTGTGGCCTCTTCACTGATGACCTCTGCAACTTCCAAAATTCATCAAGGGAGAGGACGGTTTCAGAATGTTCAGGGACAGAGTGAGAGATAGGACTGACATCCGCACCCATCAGCTTTCTGCCTAAGGACCACAGCAAACTGGGAGGTGGCCTAACAGGCAACAGGAGACAGAGCTTATACCTCTTCTTCTGGGGCCTTTTCCCTTCCTCTATGAGTGACATGAGATGCCTGGATGAGATTCCTACCCCTTCTCCATCTAAAATCACATGGTTCTGAGGAGCTAACACCAAGTGAGTTACTTCTAATTTCTCCTGGGAATATTGGCCCGTGACTGAACTTTTGTACAGTTACTGCAATTGCTGTTCTTAGGAAAATGTTCTTTGAGTGATGAGCTATAGTTAACATATAACGTCCACTGGCATCAAAGCTCATAATGGCCTGTCTTCTAATTCTATCATATAACCAGAAGCCTGAAATGTCCACTACTGACCTGACCGTTAAGGCAAGCGTTGGTACCATTTAGAACACTGTATAAAAATCATTACTCTCACCCCGGCCAGGTTGCTCAGTTGGTTGGTTCACTGCCCCACGCACCAATGGTTGTGGGTTCAATGCCCGGCTGGGGCACGTACAGGATGTAACTGATCAATATCTTTCTCTCTCTCTTAAAATCAGTAAATATATCCTTGGGTGACGATTTTTAAAAAATCATTACTCTGAACTTACGAGACTGGGAAATATCTATTTTATAGGAAGTGTCTTTTAGAATGCCCATTGGCTTCCTTTCATTCTCTCTTCATGGAAAAGAAGGCACGGACATGGGCAAACAGAGGCAGACACCTTCAGGTTGACCCCTCTAGGCACTCCACACCACCCAACCTCAGGAAGCAGTTGTGATACATAAAGCCGGTGTGAAAGAATAGGATTATGTGAGAAAAACTAATTATCTGTACATACACTTCAGTTTTGTTTCTCTCCCTCCCCCTACCCTCTGCCATTCTCAATTTCCCTAATAATTTCAACACACTGATGATGTTTAGAAATAACCAGATCAGAGTTTAAAAGTTTTAGTTAGAATTCTTTGAAGAGAAAAAAATAAAGCATCTTATTGGAAGAATCAAAAGCCATAGAACAAGCTGCAAGAATGGACTGCATGATACAGGATAATAAGGCACAATCTAAGTTTACACCTGTTTTAGCCAACAAACTAAAGCTACTTCAAACACACCGAAGGCGGCCTTGGCTGCTTCTCCTCTTAATTCTTACATAATCCTTGGCTCCTGTTCTTTGACTCTGTGATGTTTAAGCAGTGTTGGCTGGGACAGAGCTGTGTAGTCCTAGAGTTTTGTATGAGGTAGACCAGGTACATTTGAGAAGGCCATTCAAGTAGTTGATGACACACCTGGAAACTGGACCTATGTTTCGATGTCGTCAATGTGATAACAATGAACAGTGTTCACAGAACGCTGTGGCACAGGACGCCGTGCTGACGCAGCCCTGCCGCAGGGCCCCTCTGGGGCGGCCAGGACCTGCCAGGAACACACCAGGGGTCGGGTCTTCTATTTCCTCCCCATCTTGTTTCAGGGAAGGAAAGTGAGTGTCAGCCACGTAGGGTTTTGTAAACAAAAGTTTTACACAGCCCAGCTTGACCCCTGACTTGTGGCTAAGGAAAGAGAACACAGCCTGAGGGAGAGAGAAACTTCTGTTCATGAACCATTTTGGCAACATTCTACCTCATTTAGTATCAATTTGAAAATTTCATGGAAGGATAAAAAGGATTGGAGAATAAAACTTGGCTGAGCTGAGGTACAAAATGACCCACCAAATCAGGGCAGACATGAACTTGACAGCAACCTGGCCTGGGGGGTGACTGCAGGGCAGAGTCCTGCCTGCTCTCTCCCTGCCTGAACCCTGGCCATAGGGGTCACATTATCTGTGTGGGAGTCCTGGTCTGTGTGAGGAGGGCTGCCATGGCACAGAGCCAGCTAGGCACAGAGGACACAGCCATGAAGAAATGGTGATGCCCATTCACCCTGGTGGCACTTGTATACCCTCAGGGAACTCCTTCAGACATAGAAACTGTTTCAGCAGCTTTGGGGTGGGGCCCTAGATTCTGCCTTTCTCAGATGCCTAGGAAGCTGGCCCAGCCTCTAAGGGGCAAACGGAAAGGGAAGGAGACTCAGTCCTGAGCATCTAATACTAATGAGAGTTAGACTCGAAATGCCTCTGGCACAGAGGAAAGAGCCAAACTTTGTTGTCTCTTAAATGAATAAGAGTCTGGGGCTTTGGGGGCACAAAAATAGCAATCCCAGAGAATTTGAAACTTTTTAAACCAAAGTAGCCTAAATCTTTCTAACCTCAAACCAGCCAGCTGCTCAGAGGGACAGTTAGGTCTAAGACCAGGAGCCTCGGCAGATGTGTGATGTGGGGGAGACCCAGCAGGCTGGCTCCGGGAACCTTTGCAACCTTGGAGGCAGTTGGAAATAGAAAATGAGCCTCAATATACACGGTTTATACTCAGGGTGGTCACTCATAAATTATATTAATGTCTAATCATTGTTTTACTCCTGAAATGAATATAATATTGTATGTTGACAGTGACTGAAAAATAAAAAATCCTGATTTTATTGAAAAATGCATTCAGAGGTCCAAATATTTTTCATAAATATCTATAGCTTGCATTCTGGTGTTCATATACTAGCACTTTTTAATAATGTAATTATTCTTAATTAACAATTTATCATTTTAATGTTTCCTGTTGTTTTAAAACTAGAGTTTAATATGAGATATTTGTCTTGATAACTTTATACATCAAGTTTCAATTAAACTTTAATGTCTACTGTATATGTATATATATGAAGAAACAATGCCCTTTGATTTATTCTCCTGTGTCCCAAATTCAATTCTTTTTCCTCGACAACTGGATAAAGTGGCCAAATATTATCCATCTAAAAAAACCGCTTAAAGACGGCGTTCTTCCAACCCAGGCGGTACACACTTGAGTGCCTGTGAGGTCCGCAGACAGCGGGTAACTGCGGCCTCCAGCTAGGGGCTGCCGGGGCAACGGGCGTCGCCATTGAAACAGCAAATTCAGACCTCTGCTCAGCCTCTCCTGATTTTAAAATTCACTATCATAAACCACTGCAGGCGAATTGCTCCCAGTAAGTAAAAAAGAAAAACACACTTAACGCCTAATTCGTATTTAAATGTTAGG